GGTAATTAAATCCCTATACTTACTATTGATGCAGTGTTAATGGTAAAGGCAGTTTGAGTTATTCGGGTACGTAGCTCATATACTTTCTGAGAGATAGAGAGTGACACTTTAAATCTGTCTATCACTCCTCTTGTGCCGCTGATCCAGAGGGCAAAGTTTACTCAATTAGTCGGGCGATTGCTTTTGGAGATCGCAAGGCAATTGAATATATATTAAATATATAATATTGAATATTTTTTTTTAAAGGCACTTGTTTATACAAGTGCCTTTAAAAAAATATTTTATATACAAAAGTATTTAAAATAAACAAATTAATATGTGCATACCATTGTCATGATTAAACGTGCCGAACTGTTACGTAGTTTATAAGATCTTTATTTGTAACCTCGGTTAAATGCAAAATATTCTATTCTGCATAAAATATCAGAAGCGGCCAGATGATCCGAGGACGATATTAAAGGTCGACAACGCGTTTGTGACTTCTGAGTTGCAGGCGTTCATGGGTGGCGGTAGTTACTTACCATCAGATGATCCGTGTGCTCGTCTGCCCCCTCTTCCATAAAACAAATTCAAGTATTTTGATTAAAAATAAGAAAAAAATTCACATCGTGTATTTCAAGTTTGGTTTACCCAGATTAATATATTAACCGTTTTCATTTTAAATACGAAATAAAAAAGATCCAATACTCTAATCTCTGGGTTACCCAGGTTACCTTTGAAGGGACCTCATTCCACAGCCTGAGCGTGCCCTCTCGAGTTTACCCGAGACTACCGTATCGGGCCTTTTAAAAAAATATGTTTAAATGTAATTCAAGGATTAGCAACGCGCATGCGTTCCCCTAGAAGGTGCAAGCGTTCACCTTATAGGCGAGCCAGGCGGTAAATCAACGTAGCAGAGCTATACACACTCGCGCTGGTCAGTAGTCCGTCTGCTCTTTTGCCCCCTAAAAACCAAATGATTATAGATATAGACTAGCTGGTACCCGCGAATTAGTTCGCGTGGAATTTGAAAAGCGCTGCCGAACCGGACAAATTTTTGAAAGGTTTTCTAAGAGGAAACATAGCCTACTCCTTGTATAGACAGCTACCTGCTAGTAAACTATTATCAAAATCGGTATAGCCGTTTTAAAGATTACCCGGCACAAACAGACATCATCATCACATCACATCAACAGCCTTTAATAGTCCTTGCTGGACATAGGCCTCTCCTTAAAAAGCAGGTATTGGCTTTTTTTCTGCCCGCCCTGCCCATTCGACGATAACCGGCTGGAGCGCCTCCACGGCGGCAATACCAGCACGTGGAGCCTCCAGCCGCGACGACCAACGAGCCATCGTGGCTCGACGAGCGACTTCGCGCCACTCGCGTACTTCTAATTTTTTTATTCATCATCATCATCATCATCAACAACCTTTAACAGTCCACTGCTGGACATAGGCCTCTCGTTAGAAAGGAGGTTTTGTCCTACTATACCATCCTGGCCAGACGTGTTGGTACAGGGTTTGTGTCAAGTTTTCCTTATTTTTGCAGTGCTGGTGTTCTGCGTTGTTTTGCGCCTTTATTGGGCTCTTACGACAAACTCTCTTACGGCACCCACGGGATGAATTGGGGTAGTGATATTCCGTATTCTTAATCCGTCACTACAAGGACAACACAAACAAACAGACAAAAAAATAATGGCTTTTAGGCATAGGTATCGTGCAAATAACCGTGTGAGCATGAACAAAACCTATTATTTTTACATTACAAACACACTTCATTAGATAGATGATAAAAATATTGGGCAGAATGCTGGTCCTGCTCAACAGCCACGCTGTACAGGAAAAGCTACTCGTCTTGTTTTTTGTGCATCTATCCATTTATTTATCTATTTATTAAAATGTTTTATTATTGTACGTAAGCATAGGTATAATCCTTGCTCCTAGCCTTTTTACAAGTGATTTTTTATTATTCATTAAAAACCGTGAATTAATCTTTACATGCGCCCGATAGAATAACAACACATCACAGATAAGAAGCTGATTAGTCCAAATAAGCCATAAATACTAAGAGTACCTATTGAAAGTAATATCATAAAATTGCATTTTACACAATTGGATGTTTACGCATAGTGATGTCGAGGTCGGGGTCACGAGTTTACGACATTATGTTGCCGCTATGACTAAGCAAGCTTCTTACTTTTTCTTATAAATGATTATCAGTATTACTTATTTCACGGTTACTTAGGTATATTATTATTTTTTTGTAAAAATAATAAAGTAGAAAGAAATTTACATGAGTTTGATTAACATTTTTAGGGTTCCGTACCTCAAAAGGTAAAAAGGAACCCTTATAAGATCACTTTCTTGTCCGTCTGTCCGTGTGTCACCACGTGTTCTCAGAAACGGGTAGACCTAGCAAGTTGAAATTTATACCAGATACTTAGGTCTATGGTATATAAAGTTGGTATGGTTGGTATGGTCTATTAGGTGTATAAAAATCAAGGTCCCGAGTCAACACGATAAAAAGATATGGGCAAATTTCGACTTTCGAACCACCACAATTTACCTTATTTTCAACTTTTTTATTTTTCAGAATTTTCTCTTTACTTGTGCTGTAAGACCTTGCTTTTAACCAAAATTGACAATTCTAGGTCAACCGGAAGTACCCTATAGGTTTTGGGTCGAAAACCTATATGGTAGTTCCCGTTGACCTAGAATCACAAAATTTGGCAAAAATAAACGCCTTACAGCACAAATAAAGGAATAATTCTAAAAAATAAAAAAAGTTGAAAATTAAGAAAAATTTTGGTGCTTACAAATTTTCGCGAAAAATCTACGTAAAATCTGGGTAGGTACAGAACCCTCAACGCACGAATTCGACTCGTACCTGGCCGGTTTTTTTTCTAGATAATCAATATATAAAAATATAATCAATATATAATATTAGGTCTTTACCTATGAAATTGCCGTTTTGTATGCAATAAGTGAAAGTACTTATTATTTCAAACTTTTTTATTTCTGTTATTCGAAGTAATCACCCATGCAATCGACGCATCTTTGCCAACGCATTGGCAGTTTATTGATGCCCTTCTTGTAAAAATCAGCTGGACGGGAGGCAACAAACTCTTCAAAGGCATTTTGTACTGACTCTCGGGAATTGAATTTTTTACCCACTAAAGAGTTGTCTAAATTTTGGAAAAAGTAATAGTCGGTAGGTGCAGGGTCTGGTGAGTATGGCGGATGAGGGAGAGCTTCCAACCCAGGCTCTTGCAGCTTGGAGACTGTCTGTTGCGCAGTATGGGGTCGCGCGTTGTCGTGAAGGAGCAGTGGGGACGACCGATTGATAAAAGCTGTTTGCAGATGGTCATTTTTCAAAGAGATAAAGTTATTGAAGGTTTATAGTTTCTCAGAATAAGAACTCCATAACCAAGACCGTAATATGTCATAATTGCGTCTGTGCTCTAATAGGCATAATGACTGTATCTAATTTAATTTCTTAATCATTATTGTCTTGTTGTATGTTATATTAAGATTTTAATGTTGCCTTAAAATGAAGCTCACTAACAGTCCATCAAGTCTTGCGTATACACCTGCAACTAGTACTGACCGATTTAGTAATAATAGTATTATGAGTGTAAGCACACAGCGTGTGGTGACGGATTAAGAATACGGAATGTCACCACACCTATTTATCCCGTGGGTGTCGTAAGAGCCGACTAAGAGAGAAAACTAGGCAGAACAACAGCACTGCAGAGAGAAGGAAAACTTGACACAAACCCTATACCAACCCGTCTGGCCAGCGTGGTATAGTAGGCCAAAACCCCCTTTCTAAGGAGAGGCCTATGTCCAGCAGTGGACTATTAAAGGCTGTTGATGATGATGATGATGAAGCACACAGCATACGAGCGCAACATAAAAATGTAGTTATCAGCCATAGAATTGTTAATGTCTTTAATGAGAGAAGCGACTTACACTTAACAGGTGAGCGACACATATATAATGCACTAAACGGATTGTTGAAAGTTTCGAATTATAATGTTCGTATTTACACTATCCTATCAAACAGACAGGGCAACATCCTCATGCTGCAGCTGAAAACCAGCGCTAGGTGCATTGTGCCAAGCATTATGCTGAGCAGTGGTCCATATTGGTACACATGTGATTTATTCCTATTCTAATGTGAACATGTAAAAATTCTCTAAAATGTGGCACTTAAAGTATTTTTCTTTCTTTCTTTTAAATATGTACATTCAGTCAGTATTCTTTGCAGAGATATTGCAGCTATGTGACTCAAAGGTGAGGTCGTACATCACGCTTCCGTACTTACTTTTATCTTTACCTATTTTAAACATTCAACTCCATTGTAAATAGAGCCCTATGTCCAGCAGTGGGCTGTTGATGAGTGAGGTTACCGGAGCCTAACTCCCTCTGGTGAGGGGTGGGGGGTGGAAGGTTGACTCAAAAGTGGGCAACCTACTTGTGATTCTTGAGTTACAGGTGTCCATGGGCGTCGGTGGTTACTTACCATCAGATGATCCGTCTGCTCGTTAAAAATGTACTGTTAGTTGCATAAAGCAATATTCAATAACAAACAAAGTTTAAAAGGATGAATCACAATTCGATTCTAAGCGACCTTGTATTGATTTAACAAAGTGCTAAAAATACTAAGCACTACGTTTTTGAGTCACAAACATCGTACGATATATATATGTATACTGTTAATGACCTTCAGTGTGATAATGATCTTTGTTAGTATCGGGAACTAAAATCTGATAAATAAACACAGTGATAAGAAACGATAACTAAGGGAAATTGTTGTTCGTTGGACTATGTTACTTACGTCTTCTAAATAGTATTAAAAAATCCTTTACTTTAAATTAATATTTTCTACAAGGAGCATATCAATAAGTAAATAACAGATAAACAAATATTTAATTATTTCTTGTTTAAAAACGGGATTGTTTTCAGGTTTTAGTATTGTTTATTCCTTTCACATATCATTTAAAGTTCAAATTTATAAAATGGCCGTTATTGAAAATTCATGTAAGTAACGCACTCATAACGATATCATATAACATAGTAACGATAACATTTAAAATAGGTACGAAGACTCAGACATACAAATATACACACGTTAAATTAAAATAATCACATTAGATAGATGGATAATACTTTATTTGCACACCACGGTTTTACAGTCATTATTACGTAATTAAACGTACAGCATAATTATTATGTATCGTACAAAGGGCAGCCTTATCGCTTAGAGCAATTTCTTCCAGACAAAATTTTGGATGGACTGAATTCATTTTAAACCTGTGAAAGGTAAATAAAAGTTCGAGATATAAATAAGGTGACTTGACCTATTAAATATTTATATTTATCATACATATATTTTACTAATCCATATGTATATATGAAACATTATTTTTACTAAGAACGTAAACATAACATATCGTAAAAAATATCCTAGAAACAATTTGCACTTCTGTTTGAACCTCCTGTTGAAGCAACGAGCATAAATAGTCTGTGACTATTTGTGCTCGTCGCATCAACCTTGCTGACAATTTACAGGCAGACATGACCTTACTGAAATACCAAGAAAAAATGGAAAACTCGTTCGAAGACGCTGCGTCATCTGCTACGCCAAAAGGAAAGCTGAAGGCAGTCCATTAAAAGCTAAACAAGTGAACACAGAGTGTTTAGAATGCGGGAAGGGTTACTGCTACTTCTGTTATGATGAAGTGCATCGAAGCTTCATAAATAAGTCATAACTTTTACAAATATCTGTATTTGTTTATTCATTCTCTGTCACTCGATTTATAACCGTTCAAAGAAAGGATAAGGTTCCCAATTCCATTTTTCCATTTTAGTTGCCTCATAACCACGGAACAAAGTTATTCCTTGTTCTGTGCTCATAACTGAGGGTATACTTCTCGTTTGGTCCTATTCAAATTTGAAGAAATTTATTACCTTCTTTTAAGTGTACCTTCCTCATCTTTTTATGCATCAACCAATCGGTTGACTGGTAGATAATGCCATTAAATCTGCCCATGCATAACTTTTTACATAAAGTTAAATCAATTAATAAATAAATCTGAAAAAGCCTTATGAGTGGAAAATTAAAGAATGAAGAATACAGCTTACAGTTAGAATTACAATTCATCATGATGTTCAGAATGCCTATTGAGGTTGGTGGTAATATTTAAAAAGAATAAGAATAGGTACTAGTACAATTTTTGTAGGATCAGGATCTAGTATAAAATGTCATTTAATTTCAGTTATTATTACGTTTTAGCGGTTTACTTGCATTTACATCAACAACTAAATGTGACTTGTTAAAGGTTGTCCGCATTTTAGTGTATATACATACCTATATAATAAATGTATACGTATATAAATAAAACGGCTTTAATTTTTGTTTCGTTCACCATTAAAGATTTATTGATTAACTGCGATTCAAAACTTTCAAGAATTCCATTGTATCATTTTTGTAAAAGACTACTAACGCCATCTAGTAGTAGCGATGCTGGTATACACATAACTTTGTGCAAGGGACAAGACAAAAAAAAAAATATATGGACTTTGAAGAAGGATAGGATACCGTTAAATACATTTTGTTATTAGTGCTGTTAGTGTTACCTGCGATAACGGTCGTTCTTGTTATTTTCTGCTAAAAACATTCCTGCAAAAAAATTGTGGTTGACGAAAAAGTGTGGAAAGCTTTGACAAGACCATGTAGATGTAGCTATAAAAAGAGAAAAAACTGACAAGAATTTTGCAAATGTAATAAGACACTATCCACATTTTTTGTTGCTGTAAAAGAGGTACTGCCGGTAAACACTGATACTATTAATATTTCTAAACCAATTTCAGGAAAGCTGATACAAATGTCGACGGGCGCTACTCTTATGGCTTACGACGGATTCACCTTTTGGAAAGAATGCCGCAAACACTTAAATGATGGTGGCCTAATCAATTGGTACTGTTCTTCTAAAAGACAATGCAACTGCAAAGTGGTTCTTACGTGTTTTGGTAGCCGTATTGTTGAAATACGCGGTGAACATAACCACATTAGACCAGTACTAGTCTCAGATCAGCACGGCAAATATCACAAATTTCATCCAAAAACTGCCGTTAAAGGTAACGTACGATTCTGACGTAATTGGCCCATCTAGTTATTTGTGTCTTGAATCACATGTTCATATAATCACATAATTATAATAAATTTATCTTTGACTGAATAAACTGTAAAGTAAATTTTCAGTTTTTTGTGTACCACTAGCGCCATCTGTTGTTGATAACACCCATTGCAAAAGAAATAATTAAGCAGGAACCCGAAAGTAAATTAAAGTACATATATCAATTATAACTTATATTTAATGATATTATGTACCAATAGGCAAGTACATAATATCATTAAATATAAGTTATAATACGACATATATATATTTTTTTTATGGAAGAGCGGGCAAACGAGCAGCCGGGTCACCTGATGGAAAGCGACCACTGCCGCCCAAGAACGCCTGCAAATCAGGAATCACAACACGTTGCCGGCCTTTGAGGAAGGAGCACGCTCTTTTCTTGTAGGTTTGAAGGTCGTTCCGGTCCGGAAATACTGTTGACGTTAATTTGTTCTACAGATTGGCTGTTCGAGGCAAAAAGTGTATTAAAAAACGCACAGTGCCAATTATCCAAGTGGTGGGGATAAAAAATTTGTGGAACGATGTGTTTTGGTCATTAACGACTTAGATTTTGTTAAATGTTATCTTTAGGATTAACATCCTTCATCCGGACCATTTATTACAATAATATTTTACACTATTGTTCTTACGTGTTTTAATAGACGTGTGTGTGTGTGTGTAATCATTGAGATGAACGATGAACACAACTATCTTAAAATTGAACAGTTATAAATCAACATAATAAGATAGATTATATAAATTTAATAAATAAGAAATGTAGACTTATCTAGAGTGCAAATGAAATAAAAATTGGGCTCATCAGTGACAGCTAACCCCATCTAGTTTTAAAAATCAAGATAAAATTCATGATAACAGAAATGATCAAAAAGAAACCGATGATATTCAAAGTTGCAGATTTGCAAGTAACATTTAGTTTATATTTTAATATATTACATATAACTTGAATTTTGAATGATTCGTAATTTTGTTAGTAAGCTTATAAGGTAAATGCATAAAATGAAACGCCATAATGTCACTTAACCTAAACGTCAATTTGCCTTGACAGTTTTGTTGCGTCATTTCATTTATTTTTACTGTTTTCCCACGTTTATTTTAGTGTCTAATTCATCACAAATACTTAAGAAGAGTTTAAATTTGTTTCGAGTTTTACTGTACTATTTATTCTGGTGATTTTTTGTATACCACTCCGAAATGTTTTGTACAAACAATTATGTTGGCAGTGTTCAGTTGTTTTGATTATAAAGTTATTTGTATGAATGTAAATATAGGTTTTATCTAGTTATTATTCAGAATAACAGTGTTTAATTTGCAGGTGACGACTTTGTGCAGTGTGTGCCAACCAAGAAGGGACACCAGATACTGTTCAAGGGTTATACTTATGTTTTTAAAAGTAGGTTGCAGTGCGGCGCCGAACAGTGGATATGCTCGTTCCGACAAAAAACTGGTTGCATATCTGTCATTAATATGCAAACTTATGGCGTTGAAGTAGTTAGAGATTTTCACAACCATAAAAAACCCATGTTTTCTGATTAAATTAATGTCTAACAAAGGTTTCGTTTTATTGTTTTTTAATGGTTTCAAAATGGTAATGGATTATCTCACAATGACCTGCACTTTGATTAATTATTGACTATTAAATATTGTAACCTGATAGATATGTGTATTCAGTAAACTATATTATTTATTTACATTGTGATCACATATTCAAATGTGATAAGGTACATGAATGTAACCAGGCATTTAAGATTTACAAGGAAGACATGATTGTGTAGGTAGTTTATGTTATTATTGTAATTCAGACTTAAATAAATAAAAGTATAATTATAATAACCTGACTTTTTAAATTAATATCCTTAAGACATGAATTAGTGATGTCAATTAAAAGCATTAAATCTAAACAAATTCAACTTTCATTTAACCTTTAAGTGAAAAACTTAATAGTTCATATACTTTATAATTAGTATATTACTGTGTTTTAAATGCTAAGTATATTTTACTGTATGTTATAATCTTAAAAAAAAATGTTCAAATTATTTACAGATGAACAACTACCTGAGTGGACTTCGATTTACTTTTTGAAAGTTTCAAATGATGAAATCAAATGCAACCTGTGTGATATCAACTTAAAAGTTGATGAAAAATCTTTGGAACTTTTGGAGCACTTGAAAACCATGCACAAGGATGTTTACGACCTCCACAAAGACAATCCAGAGGCAACAGTCGGTTTCCGTATTGAGTTCTTGCACTTAAATATGTTGAAAGATGACGTAGATCCAAAGACACAACCTGTTATATTGGGAGAGGTTTGTGAAGCTACCACCGAACCAATAATTGATGATGAAACCGCAATACAATTGTCGAGCGAAAAGGCTGATGAGATTATCCAGAAGGATGTTGATACCAGCATGCACTATGTGTTAATTGACAACAGTAAAAAGAAAACTAGAGAGAGCACTGGTAGGTGTTTTTACATACTAATTCCTAGTTTACTCTTTTTAAGTAAACTTCAAAGTTTAGATTAGTATTGGGAGAGTAGTAATTGTTTGGGCTCTGGTAACATCATTTACTCAGTAAAAAGCAAAAAAAAAATGCTTAGCAATGGTTTTCATTAAAGCTGTATCACTCCTTGTGGAGCCGGCCCACTGATGTGTTAAAGCATGACTCTTCCATGTTAAAATTCAAAATGTTTCAAAAAAATTGTGTCGTTGTTTAAGTCGTTTATGAAATTTAGGATGGTATTTAAAACCCATGTAAAAATATGATCCCATTATAATTAGGTGCAATACTTTTTTTGGTACTGGCCTGCCTATCTTGAGGTCACTAAGTTGTCATGCAACATGTAAAACAATCCTCATCTATTTAAAGAATGCTTCAAAGATGCTGAGCTGTTATAATATCTTTTACAAAATTTTACTATTGGTCTCTCTTACAGAGAGGTAGACAAAGGTGTGTTAAATGCCCACATTTTGCTGTATATGATATTACCATAATCAAGAATGGTAATATCATATAGAAAACACAACCACCATCATACTGCACTGTCAAAGAGTCATTCACTTGTTTTATATTATTAAGAATTCTTAAAAGTATGATCATCAACAGCCTATACTAGTCCACTGCTGGACATAGGCCTCTCATTAGAAAGGAGGTTTTGGCCTACTATACCACACTGGCCAGACGGGTTGGTATAGGGTTTGTTTCAAGTTTTCCTTCTCTTTGCAGTGCTGTTGTCCTGCTTAGTTTGCTCCCTTAGTCGGCTCTTACGACACCCACGGGATGAATTGGGGTGGTGACAATTTGTATTCTTAATCCGTCACCACACGGACGGAAAGTATGATAATAGACAAAAACACACATTTAAATTGACTCCTGCATTTAGGTAGTTGCCCTTTTTCTAAAGAGCTCTTCAAAATAATCCTCCTGAAATAATTTCAGGCCCTCGTAAAAGAAGCTGGGTGTGGAAGTATTTTGACAAGCTGAGTAACATCATCTACCGTTGTCGTTTGTGCAATGTGGTGCTGTCCATCAAAGGTTGCAACTCCAACAATATGAACCGCCACGTAAGAACACGGCATCCTCTGGTGTTCAAGAGCGAGGTGACCAAGCGGGAGAGGGTTGACAGTGTACACGTCATCACCAGCGAAATGGACACACCTTATGCGATAAAAACTGAAGAGATATATGCAAGTGATAAAGACTATGAAGAGATTTCTGGTAATTTTTTTTTTATTAGAATAATTTCATATCCTCAGGGTTCCAATATCCATCCATCCGTCTGTCAGTGATAAAATTTATATCTTATATCCATTGTCACAATAACAATAACTGCACGGATGGCGTAGTGATTTAAGCGGTCGCCACGCCTCTTCCTACAACGCCCGAGTGTTATGGGTTCAAACCCCTCATGGGACGACACTTTGTGTGATCCACAAATTGTTGTTTTGAGTCTGAGTGTTCTTTGTGTCCGTTTCATGTATGTTTGTAAAGTCCCCCACGACACAGGATATATTCCTAATGAGACTTCCTCATTGTCTTTAAAAAACAAAAAAAAACCAAAACTAGACAGAGCCTGTACTGTGGTAATGCCCGGCGGTGGATAAGCATACTTAAACATTTCTAAATACATACATGTTATAGATAAATTATACCCAGTCATAGGACAAGTGATCTTGTTCATCACACAATTATTTGTTCTGAGTAGGAATCAAACCCACGATGTCTGGATTAATAGTGAGGGTTGCTAACTACAAGATCAACATGCTAGTCACAATAAAAATAAAAATTAACAAGGTATACAAGAAACCTTTATTGGCTATCCTTTAAAATTTGTATGGTGCGAAACCCATAGTGTAGGAGTCCGAGATAGTTTAATATTTATATTATAATTTAGGTGAAATGGCCATCATATTTTCTATTGTTAGTTCTTCTTCTTGTTTGTCCAAAGAAAATAATAAATACCAGGAATAGGTGCAATGTAGTACATATGTAGATCAAACTGATAAATATACACTGTATTATACTAGTAAGACCATAAAAGCACATGGTAAACCAGCAGACACGGTAGTCGGTTGACGTTTTGCAGTACCAGAATACACATGGCTTGCCAATGTTGTAGTAGTATTTAAAACATTATAAATGCATTAATTTAATAGAAATGCCGTAGTCATCATCATCATCATCAACAGCCTCTCCTCGGAAAGGAGGTTTTGGCCTACTATACCACGCTAGCCAGATGGGTTGGTATAGGGTTTGTTTCAAGTTTTCCTTCTCTATGCAGTGCTGTTGTCCTGCGTAGTTTGCTCCCTTAGTGGGCTCTTACGACACCCACGGGATAAATAGGGGTGGTGACACTGAGTATTCTTAATCCGTCACCACACGGAAATGCTTTAGTACTCTTTCCAATTATGTATATATAAGAATATAATATCTGGTATTATAAACTGTCGAGTACATTAACTAGTACATGCTACTACAATGTATGAATTGTATCTTATTAACCAGCGATGTTAAATGTCGCAGCATAATAGGCATTATTCATGGTATTGGTTTGATTAACATCTGTTCTGAAACATAGAGGCAATTTCCATACCTATGCAGGTACACTTTTTAAACAAGTTATTTTATAGAGACAGCCGTTAGGCACTGCCAGAGAAATACATATTTAATTAGAAATCTCTCTAAAACAGTGATTTTATTTATTTATATATCTTTATTGTACACTGCTACAGTAAATATTGTACAGACATGGATTAACACCTATATTTTGGTATTACAATAGGCGGTCACGGCGGTCACGGCGAGCTCTTACAGACAACCTTTACACATATATTGCCAAATCTGATTTAGGGTAGTCTTCGGTGTACTTTATAATACTCTAGATAATATATAAACACACGAAATACGTTTACAATATACATGCTACCAAAACATATAAATAATAAATACATACAAAGGTCATAAAGCTGAATACACAAATGTTCATCAGTCTAGGCTGGTTCATCGTATAAGATTGTGAATAAAAGTTACATTATAAGACGTTCTCGCTAAAAATTGTTCCTCTAAGTAATACTCTTAATTCTCTAGGTATTGTTAGGACTGACTGCATTATAATCAACTAGTTTTATTATTTACTTTTTATCGAAATATAATGCTGTTTGCTGTATTACATATATATTTTAATGATTCTTCTATTTTTTTACACATCAAAACTCATAGAATCGTCTATCTAGGAGTCGATTTGTCCATCCAAAGGTTGCCTGTAAGAAATTGCTTTTTAACGATAAGGCTGCCATTTTTACATTGTCATTAATTTGATGTGCTCTCGTATGTATTATGTATCTAACTGGTATAAAGTAATAAAGTTTATTCGATTCTCTAGTCAAACTGAAACATATATTTAGAAGACCTTGTTACAAAGCTTTATCAAATGTCAGTAGTAATTATAAAAATAGTAATCATATTTAAACGAGCCACTAGAACAAGAGAGATGAGATGATCCAAGCGAAAGGTTATAAGAGTCACAAAAATATTTATATATCTAGTTCAAGCCCTTACATAAACCAGTCTGCCGTCACTAGACTTATATATATATATATATATATATATATATATATATATATATTATTTATTTATACAAACCGTAAACAAATTTATAAGAGTAATTTGATATACATAGCATTTCCTAAGCCACGAAGGTTTATAATGAATGCTAAGCGTTCGCCTAGATCGATACTACAAATACAAATAGAAAAATAAAAAAGAAAAGCGAAACATAAACAAAAAACAAAATAGATATTATTAATTTTGGTTCAGAAGAAATGATCGCACTTTAGGTTTAAAGTTCATTGGCGTTAGAACATTTCGCAATTCGTAGGGTAGGTTATTAATAAATCTGGGAGCCAAGTAGTCGATTGTTCTTTCACCTTATATATTATTTGTCGCCGGTCGACTGGTTTGCTAGTCGTATATAGTAGTATATACTTACAACTATACGTAAGTCATTTTCACGTAGGTCACATAATTTTATTTAATATTTACAGAAAGTCCAAGTCAAAAGCTCCGTCGCAGCTGGATCTGGTCTTACTTCGACCGCGTGTCCAGCACACAGGCGCAGTGCAAGCTGTGTAAGCGACACATATGTCATGGCGGCAACGCTACCGGAAATATGAACAGACATCTCAAGATGATACATAAAAAGACTGCTTGCTCATGTAAGTTGACATTCTGCGATTTTTAAAGTTAAATACAGTTTTGTTGATCAAAGAAGGCTAAGATGTACATAAACATAGCTTCTTCATCATCAACAACCTTTAATGGTCCACTGTTGGACATAGGTCTCTCTTTAGAAGCGAGGTTTTGTCCTACTATTCCTTGGAACACACCTTTTTTTTTCTACCTACCTAAGAAGTCTCTGTACTAACAGTGTCACTCTTCTTTTATCCTTATCACTTATTATGGAGCGCTTATGACTATTACTAACCAAAATACAATATCAATATGGTATTGTTTAACCAGTTCTCAGGCTAAACAAGAAGTTTTGCTTTTTGGTGGAGTATAAAAAGTTTATCTTTCTGTGAGATTAATAGTCTTGGTGTTGAACTCACAATTCTCATTCGAAAAGTAAATAATACTTTAAAATTTATTATTATATCACATTGGGGATTTTTTTTCGGGTTCATAGTCTCTTGAAATGTGACTATCATAGTCACATTTCATTTAATTTTATATAAATACCTTTTAAATCACAAAGATTTCTTTGGTATCCAAAAAAATATCACTTTCACATTTCACGATGGGTTTGTGTATACATATTTAATGTGCATGTATATTCTTTATCCATACAAACAATTTTCTAAAGTTCTGTTGTCTGTTGTACTTATTCATCTATATTAGATTCTGCGGCCTCGCTGGGCAGCATGAGTCTTTGTGAATATTCGTTATGGGTTTCGTTCCAACGTCACTCAGTTTATAGTGCTTACAGTTATCCTATTGTTAAATATGCTATGATTAAGAGTAAGCTTAGTTACAGTTACACACACACACACAGTTAACACCGTGTTAAGTAGGTTTTGCAAAAATATTAAGTCTGACTAACATTGTCTGATTATAACCATATATAAATAAAACTATTGTTTCGCTACATTTCGCATAAGGCTCATTTCTCCAGCCTCATTCGTAGGACAACAAAAAACTAACTGTATCTCAATCAAATCGTCGTTTTGGAGGCTGAGAGGTATGCCACACAGCTGTGATTTGAAGTTAAACATATTCCAAACATGATAAATTAGCTTTATATTTTGGTAGAATCTAATTGTTTTTGGAAGGACATTAAAATTTATTGGCAAATGTAAAATACTATATATATGGCCTTGAGGTCTTTTTTATAGAGTCCAAATATGGTCTAGTATAAACTATGACTCTGTATCATCAACAGCCTTAAACAGCTCTTTACAGCATATCACTAAAATAAATATTTTGGCAGATATTAGAGGTTTAAAATGCGGGGACAAAGCGGTCGTCATCGCTTCGGGCCGACGCATCATTTGGACGGACGATGATAGGAGCGGGCCTATAAATATTGCATAAAAAGATGTCCTGTAGTATAGTCCTATCACAATAACAGTATAATAACTCTACACAGACACCACATTTGTAGTATCTACAGTGCGCCCGTGCGTAGCCGGGGCAGATCGCTAGTTCTTCTATATTTGCTTGTATTATTATTCTTATGTCGGTATAACCTTGTATTATGACTGCACGGATGGCGAAGTGGTTTAAGCGGTTGCCTCGAGGCTTCCTACTGCAATGAGTGTTATGGGTTCGATCCCCAGATAGGACAACTGTTCTGCGTCTGGGTGTTCTATGTGTAAGTTTCCTCGCGACATAGAATATATTCCAAAAAGAAAAGAAAGAAAGAACTTTCAAGTATTATGCTAGAAAGGGGCGAAAAATACTCCCATGTGAAAGAGAAAGAAATTGCCTAAGTATGGTATATTTTGTATTTTCCAGATGACCAGAGCTTGACCACCTGGGTGTGGAAAGTGTTCGAGGACTCGGACGATGACTTCTACACCTGTAAGATATGTCAGTTCAAGTGTCTAAAGCACACGGACATAGAGAAAAGCATGGAAGCAATACTAAACCACCTTAAAGTAGAGCACGGCGTCGTGTCTGGTGATCAAATCATCACTGGTACCGATGTTGAGGGTGATGATGGTGATATGATGTGAAAAGTAGCTGATTAACATGTGTAAGATTTTAACAATTGTCTGGCATTTGGGCGAAGTTTTTCTTATTTATTGAAGTTTTTGGAATACATTACTGCATAAATCTAACCTTTCAAAATTCTTAATTGAAGCTATTTAGTAGCTAGCAGGTAATCAATCACAAAATACGGTAGTTGATTAAATTACAAAATCAACTTCTCTTTATTAAACGCCAAAATTGTACTTTATATAAAAACTTGTATGAAAACAACGTATGACGTCATACGTTGCTATTATGACATACTTACAAATATTAACTAATCGAAATTACCCGTTTGTCATTGCGTTTTTTTGCGTTTTTAAATTATTCAATTAAATCAAAATCAATAATTGTCCCATAGCTTCAATATTTTAGTTTCTATTCTTGTGTAATTTCTTTAAGTTTCAATATCATCTCCATAATTTACATTTTAAGTATTTCACCGTTCCCGATAGGTGGCGGTAAGATTACGAATTTGACCTTTGTCCCACCGTTACGGTGTAGGGTCTAAATAATTCCAAATTTAACATGATCATTTAATTTTTAATTTTAGTTTTAGTCTTTTATATATACTCTTCTCTGTCTTTTTAAATTAAAAACAGATAACTTACACACATAGACCATAAACATATATTATTCAATTTCATATTTTGCGCCATAAATTCTGCATATAATGTATTTAGCTTTTTTTTTGTTTGAGAATTAAGGCCTCAAATCTAAATGATAAAGAAATGCCGTCATTTCTATATTACATCAAATTTCTAAATCCTCTCCAATTTATGCAATTAACTGATATATTAGCAACTTATTGATCGAGTTCATCTTCTTATACAGAATTGACTTTTCTTGCCGAGTAATCTTCGCGCTTAAATGATGATAATACAATACTAACTGATATTCAAACATAGTAGTTCTGTCACATCATCTCACTTCAACAGCCTTTAATAGTCCACTGCTGGACATAGGCCTCTCCTAAGAAAGGAGGTTTTGGCCTACTATACCACTCTGGCCAGCTGTGTAACATACTTTATTTGTTTACTCACTATTGCTTATTATTTGCAAACCATTTATGTTATCTGTGGATTGGTAACCCTATCATATCGCATTAGAACCCTTTGCACAAACAAGTAACTAGGGGTTAAATGCTGTTTCTACACACACTACATAGCAAAGTTGTTAACTAACTTGGCAGTCTTAAATTCAAGTATTTTCATTCAAATCCATATCCATATATCCATAAGGATATAACATAAATATAATAACTGGTTAGTTAATACTTAGGTGCCTTTTCTCTTATATCACCTTATTTAAAGGGTGCGATGTGTAAAAATTAATACTAAGTTTTTTTTTAAATAAGGATACACTTACTTTAAATGGAATTTGAACCTTAAAGCCTTAATTGTGTTTAACTTGTGTTACATTATATAGCTTTCAATAGATTTTACACTGTATAATATAGAGCTTATTTACATTTAAATAATGTTTTTTATATATTAGTTGCACATTTACACAAAATGGGTTGATACCCATTTCAAATTTCATTTATGACATTGATATGTCATAAATGAAATTTGAAATGTGAAATGTGTTGAATTAAGTATGTCTTGATTGAATGTGTTTAAAATAGTGATTAAATGTCTTATGACCCCATAAGACATTTAATCACTATTTACATAAAACTTAATTTGGGGTAAGGCCTTATAAAACTACGCCAAAAGGATGAACAAAATTACCAACATAAGTGGTTAAGTATAGGATGAGAGAATTTTCATTAACTTTTAAACATTTCGGGTATGTCTATAGGGAACCCAAAAGCCAAATTGCAGTTGGTAACGCTATTCTAAAGAATTTAGTGAACGGTGTTATACCTAAACTAATCAATGTATGGAAATGAGACTATATCGGCATCTGAGTGTAAACTTTTGCAATTACCAATTTAAGACAACCTTTTTTTCGGGTGCGATAAACACAGCTTAAAACTTACCCCGAAACGGCTAAACATTTATTTAAGTCGAATCTTGCCGTTTCTCTTTAATGGTAATTCTTTTTAGTAAGTGATTCAAATTAAATAATCTCACAATGTCTCTTTCGAATTAAAGTCTATTCATATATTACAACTTGAAACTATTACTTTACATTTGTTTTAAATTGCTTTTAATTTGTTAGTTATAATCAAATTTAAAAAAAAAACTTTTTAATTTCACGGCCATAGCAAATAAATTAAAGTTTCACCATCACAATAGTCAATAATATGAACAATGACATAACAGTTCTGTCTTAGAGTATATTTTATTTTACTTCCCTTAGAAGTGAACAAGTTACTAACGCCACGTTCTACTCGTAGTAGGATTATTTTGCTGCAATGAGATGTATATTTGATTCATGTATTGTTTCTTGTTTTTATCGAGTTTAATTAAGGATTTTGCTTCGAATAAAATTATTAAAAATACATCTTAAAACAAATGATGAGAGTAAAAATATTTGTATAAGGTGGTATATTTACTCCAAAATCATTTAATTACAGCGCTTTGTCATATTTTGTATTGAATTAATAGTAGATACCTATCAACTGGGATTTGTAAAAAGAAATTAAACCTTAAGATGTCGGATTTGATTATAATTATTAATAACGTTGAATGAAGGAAGGCTCACTTTATTTACAAATGCAGAACATTAGCTTTGTATCTGCTATAAACTGTGGTAAAAAGAAAGAGATTTAGTTTGACTATCATTGTCAAATAATATGTTCTAGTATGACTATTTTCTTAAATTGTCTAGTTCATTACGTTGTACACCATTTTTCATTTTGTATTCATCACCAAATTATTACGCATAATAGTGACGTATATTTACGAGAATTTACTTTTAATTTCACGTTTGTTAAATAGATAGAGGTAGCATATTGTTCGTTAGGATATTTTATTAATTAAATATTAGTTGTGTATATAGTTAACGTTTACAAATAAATGTGGGTATGAAGTAAATTGATTTTATTTATCATTAAGATGTTATGTCATTTTGTCTTTGAGTGGCACAGAGTAATAATTGCGCATAAGCGGACGGGGCGGGACGACGTCGTGGCGTGCCGTCCGCTGTCTGACTCGGCCTTAACAGCTATTACAATACTTTTGTATTTTAACATATCATTAATAGGTAAATTGGTAAGGTTCGCCCTTGGTTTTTGGTTGCTAAAATTATGCTATAACTTAAAACCTACTATCCACCGAGGGTGAATACAAGTGGATGGCTAAAGTTATAAATGATGTTTTTTTATAGGAATATGTTTTACTGTGACCTGTTTTGGTAAATATAATTCTCTTGTCCATGGTAATCACAAAGGATTTGCAAAGGTAAGGTAGATTGTTTATTGTATATGTACTATGTTTGGGTAATAGGTAAACTAAACAAATAAAAGTAACAGTTATGACTAGTTTTATTCTCTTATATCAAACATCGAGTCACATCGAGTAATATCTACACAAATTTGGCAAGTATTCACTACCATTATGTTTACAACACACAACCACGCTTAGACGTTACAATTGCTATTATAACCTAAGAGGTAGCCAATTATATAGGCAATTCGATTAAATATATTTTTGGCAATTAACTTGCCTAACTGTTAAGTATTCCGATGTTTTATTTCTGGCAATTTTTATCTCTCTCGACAGAAATTATAAAACTTTAGTGACGTATTTTCGATATAAAATCTCATAATATACAAACAGCAGCATAAAAATATATCTCAGTGAAGAATTAAAAACGATATAAACCCCGAGACTTACACATAGTGAAGATGATAAGTCGCTTAGTGTTTAACAAACCCTGTATTCGATCCTAAATGAGTAAAGTGTTCAATACACTTAAGATTTGTCCTTAATTATGATATTTGCATTAACTGTATAATTTAAGATAAGACTGTATTTTTATAACACTTGATATAGTTCTTTAAAGATTGTTATTGCATTTGTAAATAAAGAGATAAGGTTTTACTTGTGTATTTTGGGAATTCCGAACCAGTTGCGGACGCCACGCGGAACCTTTAAAGATCCCATTTTATGTGAAAAAAAATTTAACCTCTCGGTGACCACTCCTCTTTAGTTTTTATGTAGACATTCATAAATATGATTTTAAATCAATTAAGCGTGATATTTTAAAGACCCCCTCTAAATCGGTCACCTTTGGAGGGGATATATATTTTATTCTGTATGTATATTCCATAAATATGTGTTTGTGTATTCATCTATGTAGGTACTTTTAAAAAGCACTATTAAGTGTTATTTTGTATTTGTAAATGCTTAGTTCACAGCTTCATTTTATGGTGCGTATGCACCTGCCATGTCCCTTACTGAACCATCTAAAGGTTGACTGGTAGATAATGCCATCGTGCAAAATGTAATGCAGGTAGTCTACAACAAATAAATAAAAAAAATGGGTCACCTAGTCACTAAGTTCCCTTATCCAGGAGTAAAGCATCCAGCTGCGTTGATGTCTCTCGCCTAGATCCATAATACACATGATATAAAACCCTATACCTTTAATAAATATGAATACTAATAAGTCTATTTTAATATTAAGTACTGTAGTGGTTACCCTATTTTACATTCAGTTAGGAATACTTTTTAAATCTTACACTAATTTAAGTAATTAGTTTCTATGTTATGAGTTTACTGAGCGTATTAATATGGGGGTGAAGGTATTTAATATTCTTATTGCTATTTGTAAAAGAAAAAAACTAAATTGATTGCTCTAGATGGAGCTAAAGATTGTTTAACCACTTAAGGTTAATAATACTTTCACCCTATTTTAAAAGTCCACTAATATACTGAGGTATTTTTCTTTTATTACAATATTAGTATACAAAATTGATACTTATTGCTTAAACATAACCCATATTTTACAAGGACGGTAACTATAAATTACTGTTTCAGAATAATATGTTGATTTTACGATTTAATTTTTTGCAAATTTGCACGTTTCCAATAGAAACTTTTCGATATTGATAAGTTTTACGAATATACCAATATAATACATCTATTTACATTTTGTTTACAATTTTTAAATTTGTGTGCTACGTTTGTGTCTACGTATAATATTAAATCTTGTCGACATACTGTCTAAATTTTTGTACTATGTATTCCTGCATTCAATACTTATAAAGGTTTGCCACTATACACATTCTAAAGACAATTAGACACAACGATGCCCTCCTAAGATATGTGATACTGCATTTTTCTTTGAATTTTCACACACCTTAACCGAGTTTATACAATGTTCGAGATATCCATAAGATTATTAAGTGTAGCTGCCGCCAACATTGGCAAATAGCAACAGCTTTAACGATGTTTAAAGTTCAAGTAATGTTTAACAATTCACAATAAGTGTACCGGTAAATTCTGTACAATGCTACTCAAAGAATGCGTATAAAAAAAGATATTGATATTCACGTTTCAAAATATATAAGATCTTCTTAAAAGAACTATGAAATAAGTTCAACTATGTTGAAATACTTAACTGGTTCTTATAATAAAATTAATACCATATATTTTTCACAATTTTGTAAAATAGTTTTGTAACAATATTGACAAAATACAAAATGTTTGAATTTTTTATAAAACGGGTGGCTTAGGCCCACAATTGTGTGTGCTTTGTATGTAAACTATTCTTCCTCTGAACGTGTGTAGTGCAGCTTTACACCACGGGCCTCGGGAACACCGCCATCGGACTTTACCGTTCCTGGCGCAACCGTTGAATCTGAATCTGTACCCACCGACGTTGATGCCCATCTTGCCTTGCTTGCTGAGGCAGTATGACGCGAAGCATCCTGTGCCGCTCAGACCAACTGTAACAACAAACACGAGCGTTTTAGTATCTGTAAAAATGTATACATCTACAACGTTGTATTTATTTTAAATAAATAAAGGAATCAGGGGTTGAATAATAAAACACGATTTTTACAATTATGTGTAGTTAGGTATTATTATATAAATAATATAAACGTAGACATTTATTAATTTCAAATATAACTGTAGAAATAAAAGTTATTTATTGATTTTTTCCAATTATTTTTTGTTATAAATTAACCTGAGTTTTATATAATTTTATGTTTTTTGTTATCTTTTTTTTTTCTAACAAAAACTTTCACTTTCAGTCCGCTTCGGATTGTCAAACCGTGGTCACCTAGTGGTTCATGTTGGCGATTACAAGTTTATTAAACACGAATGTTACAAGAAAAAAGTGAGATGGACTTGTTGCAAGCGGATACAACTTGGATGCAGAGCCAGCATCACCACACATGACGCTGTCATTGTCCGATCGTTCTTAGATCATAATCATTAAACATAAGTTAAGCATTTCTGGATCAAGCGTGTGATTAATACACTAATCACTTTACATTTATACTATTTATGGTTATAGTGCACCTCACTTTTACACCTACCTTCGGTGAAGCTAAAATAATATTAAGATTATCTTGACGACTTTAATAAGATAAAAATATATTTTTTATTAATATTCTATAATATGAATGAGAAATACATAAACTATATAGATATATATTAATATCGATCGAGTAAATAAGTAACTCTTTATGTGAGATGAAATTATAAATATTTTATGGAATAAGATCAGTGTTCGTTAAAGTGACTGGACAGGCTGAATAATAGAACTCTAGAAAGATTGAAAATAGGAACTACTATAGCCACATAAATATTTATTCTTTGAAAATACTTTATATGGCTAGAATCTTTGGGTTCTATTTGTCAACATATTTCGGTCGAGAGATACCATCTTACAAGATTAGACATTTATGCTATGGGACGGGTGGTAAAATGTTACATTGGTTTAGAATTATCATATGTTTTAAGATTATCTTACAATCATTCCCTAATTATGTAGTTTCGACACTTGTTTTATTAATCAGGGTCTTTTTGGTGAATGAATTTGTGTAAGTGACCTGACTCTAAGTGCCTTGATAGCTTGTCCACTTATGCATTTATCAAGTGTTGCATTTGATGCACGCTTCAATTCAGCTTTAAAAATAGCGTTCATTGTTTTGAAATAAATGAACCGTTCGTAGTATGTATATGTAATTATAATTATTTTTGTATGATGTTGACACATTTGATATTAAAGGCATTATTTTTATATAAGGTTTTTATTTACTTTATTTTCTGAGAGCAAATGCTTTAGTGACGGAAACAAGATATTTTGGGTATTGGATACATTTTCATTTTCTTTGTGTTACTCATAAATTTCTAAAACAAACAATTTGCCCAACTCATGTTTTAAATTTGAATCAACCTAGGATCTCGACCGTGCTCAAACATTATCGCCTACCGTGATATCGACAGACAAGACTCGCTTCTATTAGGTATTCTGTATCTATACTACTTTGTGAGTTTGTGTGAATGAAGAGGCAATCTTAGGGACCAAAAAGTCTGCATATGAAAGACAATTTCAAATGGAATTTTACGCAAGGAATGCATTCGGGTTCATTATACGGATCACCATGCAACCGCGAGCCACATAGGCCACAGGATTATGACAACCTCCTTCCCCCCAATCAAGTGTTTGGGCCCCGAAAGTCACTGCAACAAAAAATGGCTTAAAACCGGTTTTCTGTGAGGCCGTGGTATGTCTCCGGTCGAGTAGACCCCATTTGTTTCCACAAGCATGCCTCTCCCACAGAATGTTTCGAATGTAAAACAATCGCCCGGTATAGGATATTTGGATATCCCCGTTCGCGTTTTGAGTGATTCAAATTTTACACTTACGTTTAATAAAGTAATTCGAAGCTTATAAACGTTTGCATTTATTTTCATACACCGAGCAATAGATGTTACTATTATGACATATTATGTCATTAGTAACATTTATTTTTATTATTCATAAAATATATTAGATATTCATATATGTATCAGCTATACTTGATTTTACTGTGTACTTAACGTATGTGTACCGTGACTGACGGATTTTATTGGATTTTGAATGTTTATGACCTCGATGAAACATTATAAACATTCAAAAGCCGCCAATCTGGTCAGGCTTAAGAGTTAAATGATATATTCTTGTAAAAGTAATTAAAAGATTGTTTTTTAGGGAAATTTTCAAGAATTAATTCTTCAGAAAGAAAACGGCGAGGTGCAGGTTGGAGTCAAGAGGATCTAGTTAAAGCCCTGCATGATATTGGTAGTGGCCAAATATCACAGAACGCGGCCGCTATAAAATATAACATACCACGCAGGACTCTCAGAAACCATTTAAAAACGGGTAGTACAGAAAAGATCATTGGAAGAAAAGCTATTTTTACAGAAAAACAAGAGAGGGAATTCGCAGAAAGTATTAAGAAAAATACATCAAAAGGCACACCTTTAACTCCGAAAATGATACGTCAACAAGCTTTTCTGTATTGCAAAAGGCACAATATTAAAAACAATTTTAACAATAAAACATCCATGGCTGGAAGAGCGTGGCTAGAAAGGTTTCTAGAAAGAAATATTAATATACCAGCAGTTGTAAAACACTAATTTCTGACAAATTATGATGAACATTCTTGTGCCAGTCTCTAACTTTACCTATAAGTAGAAAGAGAAATATTGACAAACTTGACAAATGACACCATGTTTTGGCTGAGAAAATCGAGACATAACTTAAGTAGGAAGCGATAGCGTATTAAAAGTGATTATCAATGTTTGAATCTAAATAAATACAATATTGCACTTCATATCTTATTGTATCTTTGGGTTTTATTTACCGATGCAGTTGGGATGTAGGTGAGTATGAAAACTCTTGAATACAAAATTGAAAATGGTGACAGAATGATCAAGGCTAACGTATCCTAGATCACTGTTCTCTCCCTCAGAACTGCCTGGAAACGATTTTCACATTTTGTATTTTAACGAGAAAAATATTCAAGAACAGGTGTGATAGGACGGGAGAATAAAAGTACATATGTATTTTCGGTTTTTTTTTATTGCCAATGGTGGCAGACGAGCCAGCGACCCACCTGATGGTAAGTGGTAACCGCTGCTCATGGACTTCGGCAATGCCAGGGACAGCCAGGCCCGTCTCTAGCCTATTGGAGGCCCTTGGCAAATTAGCATAATGGGGCCCCTATGAACTTAGCTGAGCACTATTTTGTTAGAATGGACAAAAAAAGTATTTTAGTCAGTCATTACATATTGATTTTTCAAAATAATTATGTTTTTCGGTGATAAATATTGATTTTCGATTGGTGATCTGGTAGGAATCCGGCCCCTATCGATCGAGGGGCCCTGGGCACGTGCCCAGAGTGCCCAGTGAAAAAGAGGGGCCTGGGCACAGCATAAGTAATGCGTAAGTTTGAATGGATCGATGGATATATTATTAAATGTTTTACGCCCATTAGCGGATGGGCGTAAAACAGTTAAGATTAACTTATTAACCTGCAGATTATCTGGTCGAAGCCGATGAAATCTAAAAAAAATTAAGTTGGGTAAGCTGCAGTCTAACGGCTTTAGGGACTAACATACAGTAAAGTTATTTTTGCGCGCAGAAGAGCGCCAGATCATCTGTATTATTGGTGAATGATTTAGGTTTAGAGAGGTTATAACCATATGATGTTGTGGTCAAAAGTACTTTTGACTCATTTTTTTCTTAAATATAGTGGCAAGGCATTTTAATTAAGGGCTGTTGTTGATTAAGAATATTTGCCACAGATATATATTTTGTTATTTCTCACCTTTGTTTTAATGATATGCACAACTTTTATGCACTAAGTACTGTACCATTTTTTAATCACCATTCATAAATCTCAAGTGACCACAAAAAAGAAATCATTTAAAAAGGGTTGTTTCGCACAAAGTCTGCGAACAAATTTGTGTGAATAAGCCCATTTTCCAAGTTTACTGTTGAATCTGTGAAGGGACTTCTACTATCTGAAAAAGAGGCAGTACCGTTCCCCAATGCCTAATTCTAGAATAAAAAAATACATAATACATTAATTTGTACCATATATATTAAAATAATTTACAGTTTTTTAAATAAGTTATGAAGTCTCTATAAGCATTTCACAGACCATTCAATTTCAATGCAAATATAATTGTACTCTCGAAAAAAAAAAAGAAATTGGTGTTCAATAAACTTTATTATATTCTTTTCTAATATGGCATCGACGTTACTACAATTACACAATTCACATTCTACAAAATATACAATATGTTTCATCTAAGCACCAACCCCCGATACACGTACATAGTTGCTATAAGTGTCTAGATTTAAAAAAATACAGCAAATTTAAATCTTACTAATAAGTATGTATAGGTAAGGCAACTGACAATGTTAGATTTGACAGTTTAAATCAAAATAAATAAATATACACATAGAGCAAATTCGATTCACCGTAGCTTTATTGCTCTGTTATATTGCTTAGATAAGATACAACCATTACACTTTTAAATATACAGACTTATACCTATGTCCTAATATTCTTTATGAGATTTCCTATTTATAACGACAAAATAAGAGAAGGTATTCCTTACATGCCGATAGCTGAAGTAGCATAGTATGATTACAGCATTTGGAACCCTCACTTCGACAGATTAAATACATCCTATTGGTAATATTAATAAATGTGTGTATTGCTAATATACGAGTACACAGACACGAACAAATCTTGTTTTATTGTTCTTTGTATTGTATGTAGGTAAATTGTACCACGTCCGATCTTTTATTTTATTTTTGACAATTCCATAAGTAATCGATTCGGCAAACTACGATGATGATGGTGATGATTGCCAGTGATGCGCTAACAGTTTGCCGAAACGATTAAACATATTATACAATTTTGTTTATGAAAAAGATTAAGTCGATTTATAAAAAGAAAAAGTAAAATAATATTAAGGTAAATATTACTATAAGTAAAGATACCGAAATTATTTAAAAAAATAAGTCATTTAAGTTCAATATTGATTTTAAATTCAAATTTAATTAAAAGCAGAAAGTTCAAACAAAGAAATTCAGATAAAAGAATAAAATTATTCTTTTATCTGAATTGTTTGAACTTTTGTTCTCATCGCTATGTAAAATATAATAATATGTAGGTTAAAACCAATAATCATTTATTAAAATTACTGAGTTTACAGTAACGGAAAATATACGAAGTATAATTAATATTAGTATTTATATTTTTTCTTATTATTCATTCTAATGTTTAAATTTGTGAACTCTGGTATGGTGACGTTCTCAAGCAACCGTCAATAAGAAAATATATGAACATAATATGCTGATAACAGCATTTTGGATATAAATTTGTATTTATTTCACTTGAAATTACTAGTTCCGCTTATTATGTCACTGAGCAGCATTTGTACCGATAATTTTGTTTTTAATCTATAGTACGTAAATGTACCTCATTATGACTTATTAAAAATAATAAGTTTATTAAAAATAACAAATTTATATGAGACCAAATTATCACAATACAATATAATTTAAAAGACTAGGATAATGACACAGATTTTAGTATTCCACCAAAAAGGAACATGATAAAATAGCCACACATTTTTATTAGAGATACAGACACCCCGTCACCAAAAAAGGCGTTTCCAATACAAATAAAGTACTTGCAATGTTAAAATCTGCGACCCCGCGCTAAGCAACGAAGCGAGGTGCAGTGCGATAATCGCCTTATGATAATATATTTATTAGTCTCATATTCTCATGATTCTAACTGGCGATCAGACGCTAGGCAGTAGACCAACAAGGTCTGCTGCCTATCGTCTGACTGCTGAATCACACAGGACAAAATATAATTTTGTGATGATCACGGTCATCTGCTCTGTATCGAGTATAATTTATTTATAAATAATTATATATAACGTATAAACGTATATATATAAACGTATATAACGTATAAATATATTTATTTATAACGTATAAACGTGTACATATGTATTTGCAGTACATGCTTGGAATCAGATGGGTGCGTGTGAGAGGTGTCAACCTTTTTTTATCCTCAAAATAAATAATCGTACTAATTGAAACATTGTGATTGAAATTCAAATGTTAAATACGTAACTAATTAGATTGTTGATTCAATTTAAAAATAGTTGCCTATAACTTCTAATTAAATAAGCTATAATGAATTATTTCATGATTGATTTCTATTGATTAAAAGTCCAATCTCGATATCTTTCATAATTCTGCATCAAAAATTGTGGATTTCGGCAGGAATGGCGGAAGTCCTCGATGGGCCTCACTATCCTTCCGTCCACGGTCCTTACCATGGCTTTGCACTTCCGGCCGTTTCGGTACCGACAGTACCACAGCTGCACTCTGTTCTGACGATAAGCGTTGTGGGGCCGGTAGAAGTATCCTTGATAGAATAATTTGGGATGTCCACTGCTTCGAATTATATGAGCTTTCACTAAAAAACAAAAAAAAATAATTATTAGAGATCACATTACTGTGGAAAATTTGATATCGTAAAAAGGGTTTCTTTATTGATATTGATTGTTCTTTACATAAATCACAACATTACAAACCGTATAACTTTTCTATAAATATTTGTTTTATGTATTTAATGTTTATATAATAAATTAAAAATACTATAAATTTCCAGTACAAATAGACCTGTCATTGTGTACATTATCGTACCGTGATGGATAAAGATATGATGTATAATGTACTATATATGTAAAATATTGGATGGGTTTAGCTGTTTTGTAGCCGTTTTCATATAAAAAAATCACATAGCATAATATTTTTTGTTATTATACTGTCTTATTATACCAACCCGTCTGGCCAGCGTGGTATAGTAGGCCAAAACCTCCTTTCTAAGGAGAGGCCTATGTCCAGCAGTGGACTGTTAAAGGCTGTTGATGATGATGATGATGATACTGTCCTCTATGAAATTTGCTTGAAAAGGTGCACAGACAAGTCTTTTCACATAGTAAAATATAAAAGAATATTTTTAATTATATTTGTGCCCTTGCCATTTTAAGACACTATTTTATTGTGTTCTCTGCTACAGAAACAGCCAATACATAACTCCACAGTCAATTAAAACACCTTTTTTTTTCGATTCGAATAAACGAGTAAATCAACCTATTAAGTTCCGTAGAAACTCGTTTAATGTGCAAATTCTAAGTTTTTCTTCGATTTTTTATTATTTAAATTTAGTTTCCTATCTATAAAAGACGTGGTAACTAAAAAATGTGTGTTCAAAAATATTTTATCATAAATTTAATTGTCTCACAATTTATTAAAATCCGTACATATCCAAATATTTGATACAGAAAGTTAGATATGACTACACACTATCTGACGCTCTGGGATTTTTTTAACATATCTATATTGGTTTTTCTGAACAATGTTAGAACTTTTAGATCAATAGTAATGTAGGTATATACACATAAAAACAAATATCCCATTGATGAACTGTTGTTTACCGCTATGAACCCTGACAGGTGTGGACCAAAGATATATCATTGTCCTGATATAAATGAGCTGTTCACTTATTCACTGTGACAAAATAACAATAGCGAAG